ATGGTTGGAGCTTTAGCAGCACCAGCATATTCTCCCTGCTGCTTCCCATGTAGAGGCCGGCGGCTTCTGAAACCACAGCCTCCTTAAACCTCCCTGCGTGTGACAAATACGGTGTCAAAATGATAATAAGGGCTCAACAGTTTGTTTTCCTGAAATACTTCAAAAATGGCACTGTGTGTTGTTCCTTTTGCTTCAGTGGAATTATAAATGATGATCTTTGAAATGTTAAAAAATGTAATTTCAGGACAGGATTTTAAGCTTTTACTTTCAAGTTTGAGCTTTTCTTTGTTAGATTACTCAAATGATTCTTGTGGTTGCGGTGCCTTTAAGTGACACTCACCATGTTTTAAATGTGTATTGATCACAGAAACAGATTGTCCAATGGTGAGAAGATTGCAGTGTGAAAAGAACTAAAGAAAAACTGAATTAAAGGGGGGGAAGACAAACTTTCTTTCTATTGTAAATACAAACAAATGGATGACAGAAATCCAGTCCAGTTGGTATGACAACAAATGAGTATGAATTCTTATTAGAGGGAGCCACCAAAAAACTCAAATTCCATTTAAAGGCATTGATTAAGCTGTTAATGCTCCACTGGTTATTAAAATTGAGAACTGCTCAGGAATTTTAAGGGTTTTTCTTTTTCTTCCCATGAAAAAAGTAAACTAAAACAAACATTGTGCTTCTTTCAATCAGGATGCAGTAAACATATAACACTGATGTCATTTTAATTTAACTGAAATTAATCTGTTTGGATCAGTGGATGGTCCACGAGTAAATTCATTGCAATATCATGTTTTAAATTCAGTGTTTCTCAAACTGTCTGTGGCTGGCCACAAAGTCTACTAGCGAGTATGAATTGTTTTCAATATTAAATAAAATCATATGTAAATTCAAGCATTATTTAAATTGGCTGTTTTGCAGTGTTGTTGGACTTACAGCAATGTAACCGGCTGTTTTTCGACACAGCTCATGTTTTTAGATTTACATCAAAAATGATCATTGTGGCATTTGAAAGGGAATGTGGATGAAGCTAAGAGTTAGCCTTCCCTGGGACTGTGCTAAATTTCACCAGTTATCAGTGGCCTATCAAACGAGATGGACGAGATCGTGGACCAGTGGCTTAAGATCAGGTCAATTAAGAGAAAATCAAATGTAACCTCCAACTTAATGGACATAACAGGCAAGTGTTAAATTTTACTAGTAATGTCGTCACCAGCTTGAGATCACAGTGCGTTTGATGACATCTCGCCAGTGTTCATGTGTGTGTGGTAATTTTGATGCTACATAAATAGCACCACTTGTTGCCGTCAAATGACTTTCTAAACAAAAAAAAACAAAATCAAATAAACTCTCTGACACTTCAAAACATTGAAACATTTCTTCTGAATGTCATTCCCTTGATGATAGGTTTCACAAAAAGAAAGGGCAAAATATCACTGTAAATTGTTGTGTCAACCATAGATCGTTATTCTATAATTCCACAATAAACAGGAGCTAAAGTGACACCTTTTGAGTTTTTGTTACATTTTGTTTCGTACACAAGAATAAATTATAGCTGCAGTTTATAGCCAGGACAGACGACATGAATATGACAATAGTCCAATCCCTTACCTTCTGGATTTAAGTAGTGCTTTCAACACTACAGACCAAGTTATATTATATGTAATAGGCCATCTGGAAAACTAGGTTAGTCTCTTTGGGACAGCATTAAACAGTTTCAGGACATATATTACAGGTAGACAAGTGTACATCAGCCTCGGAGGCCAGGTGTCTAATAGATTTGATGGTGACAATGAAACTGCCTTGACCCAGTTTTATGCTCTTTATACATGCTCCGTTGGGAGAGATTATTCAGCAGTATGTTATGTCTTTACACTTACACACACACACAGCAGGCTGAAAATACATCTTTCTGTTGAACCATAGGACCCAAATTATATTTGCTATTTGCTTGCCTGACATAAAATGTAACCACGAAACTGCAGACGAAGGATTCACGCCCTTCAATTTAAAGAGGAATAGAAAAAAAACAAAAAAAAACAGGTGCCAAATCAAAGAGTCATGCTTTTCATCACAGCGAGCAACCTGCCGCATATAAACAGAAAGTGAAGTTGCAGACCTGACTATAAAACCATACCTTCATCATTATACAGTAACTTCAGATGGCCTTAAATCAGAGTGATGCACTAGTGGTTTTTATCATAAATAGAAGTAGAATGAATCCTTTTCCAAGTGAGAGAGACTGTTGCAATTACTCTCAATAGAACTGACACCCCAATTAAAATCTATGGGTACTTCATCTAATTAACACGTAAGCTGCCAAACTGTCAGAATGAAAAGATGTCTTTATTGATTTTCCCCCGAACTGGCTCCTTCTCTGGTGCTAAATTGAGTTTAGATCACTAGTCTCATGCATGTTGTACCAAGCATGCTCTGAATTATCTCATATTTTTTAATGTGTCATCCTGCACATCTTTATAGGTTTGTTATATTGAGTGACAGCAGCAACTTTCATAAAGATTTGTTAATTCTATTATTGTCGCTATCATCAGATTTGCAATACATATAACAAAAATCCTAAAGTGGCTCATTAAGATAATGAGAGATGCACAGATCCTCGGAGGTGGCGGATGGCATTAGCGAGCAGTGTTGGTCTGGAGGAGGTAGCTGCAACGAATTTCTTTCCAGGCTGCAGGCAAGCAGGAATCCATTTTTCATTTTTGCCCTGAGGGTAATCGATGATGGGGGTAACGAGACAACAGCACACCCTGAATGAGCAAGGGTACTCCGAAAGGTTCAAAGTAGCCTGCTGGCTCATTCAAATTCATTCGGCTAAATCCAGGGCTTTCCATATTCCCACCATGTCCCTACAGCATACCATAGGGAGAGCTGGCTGGCACTCTAACCACGTTTTTTTATTATGGGCTGCACTCAGTAATGGCCTCAGGTCAGCGAAGAGGCCTAGATCTACATTAATTCACCTAAACTCTAAAACTCTATACAGTATATACACACGTCCCTGTGTCAAGCAAGGACATAGGGTGGTGGAGGTGATGAAGCACCCGAAACCATGCAGTCCCAGCTAATATTAGATATACCATTACAGCCCCAGATGTTTCAGACCTGCTGCTCCGGACTTGCAGTCCAACCTATTTGCATACTGTGAATAATTAACTACTGAAGCTCGTGTCTGAGAGGTGTCTAGCAACAGGAACAAATCATGAATTTCTATTGGCCTTTTTAAATTCTGATGCAGTTTAGTTGTGATACAATGTTCTGTTTTATTAATGACTTCACTTAGATGTTACTTGTAGGAACTGTTTGTTCTGAGCGTGTTCGCGAGGGCATTGCTATCTAAAAATCATGTACTTACAATTAAGTTTCCAGTTTCCTTCATTAGACATTTATTTATAAGATTGCCTGAATGAAACAATTTCATGGTTTGACTGCAATAAAAGTGATAAACAGAGATGACACACAAAATTAAACAAATCCTTTACCAAGTGAAGTCATTATTACAATATTAGGTGCACGTGCAGGGGGCTGAGCTGCTCATAGATGCACAGTATTGCTCCTACAGTGTGTGTGTGTATGTGTGTGTGTGTGTGTTTGTGCAAGAGCGCTTTAATCCAGGGTGCTGTTGATAGGAGAGTATCTCAGCTGTGGTATGGCACGTCCATGACCTTGACCGTTTACAGAAATAGACTTCTTCAAGCTCCACTTCCCGGTCTGAACCGTGATTAGAGGTTTTTAAGATACACGCAGATTTACCATGGTGATAGCTCATTAACACTTGGCTGCCCAAACTTACTCAGGGAACAACATTTCTGCAAATGCTCAGCTTTTTTTATTTTATTTCTAGGACTGGTGTTTTTGTGTAAACAGACCAGAATTTGTGATCAGCAATGCATACAATATGAAACAGCTGATTACCCTAGTGTTTTCCCCATGACTGCTGACTGAACTTTCTTATCAAAGCACACCGAGCTGTGTGTCATATGCCATATGAAAGTCTAATTCAATCAACATGTCCTGGATATCTTGTGAGAGCCATCGCTGCCACAAGAGCAAGCTTCACAAGAGCAGGCAGCTAAAGAAAAGCCACAAAAACGACCATGATGGCGCTGAAGAGTATCCCCCATCCCCACCGCCGCCCCTGAGAAGAAATATTTTGGTACATTTAATGAGAAGTGGTGTGAAGACGGGGGATTTGGCTTTGAAAAAGTTGATAATTTCACAGTTGAATTCATTCTTTTGTTGGCATTCTTTTCCCTGTCAAATTTGAGGGGAGCCGTGGACTAATGTGTCATGCTGCCAGCGAGAAATACAAGGATTTGGACAAGCACGTAGAAAAAATAAAATAAAATTTTTAAGCAGAAGGCAACCGTGAAAAAGCTGTGAGGTTAAAAAAACAAGGAATTTACACTGTTGATGTGTTTGTCGTGTGAAATATAAAAATATTGTAATTGAATTGCTGGTCTCTTGGCTTGAGTCGTGATGTTGTGGTGCTGAACGGACAGCTCCTGTAAAGTATATATTTTTAAAAAAATTTGCTGCAATATCCGCAGTCACTGAAGCGATTTTCATTGTCACAGTAGCCTACTACATTTATTACTGAATGCTTGATGATGTAAAAGGCCAACAGCGTCTAACCTCTGTCTGTCGGCCTCTGTTTGGACGTCTCTTTATCTTGAGCCATCGCTGGCTGTGATCAGCTATTTCACTCTCTGTGGGTGAGGTTGTGTTTTCTCTCTGCATTGAGTGCTGCACTTGTGATTTCATGTCACACTGGCTGTCATTGCGTTGTTGATGGGGCGATAACTCTAGCTGACCAACACTGCGTGAAAATATACTTTCCAGGGTTTGGCTTGGCACTGTAGTGCAGGCCGCTGTACATGAGTCATGTGTTGCCAAGAACGCACAGACACACACTCTCTGTCTCTGTCTCTCACTCTCACACACACACACACAAATAAACACACAACTGAGCCACTTACCAAGCCAGTGTTCACCCGTGATCTTGCCAAATCCCTCCCGATAGGACTCCCATCCCCTGAAGAAGTTGACCGAGCCGTCCTCCCTGCGCTGGATCACCTACACATCCATGACAAGAAAGCAAGAGGTCAGGGGGTCAGATGAGATTCATCACACACACACACACACACACACACACACACACACACACACACACACACACACACACACACACACACACACACACACACACACAGTATTTCATCCTCCCCATGATGAGTCATCCGAAGTCCCGCTGTTGGTCGCTTAGCTCATCTAAACTAGATGAACTCATAAACGCTTGCTCTTTCACAAATGAATAATGCAGATGCTCTTTCCACTAAAAAGGCAATTTGTCGGAAGCTAATAAAAGGAAACCATTAAATCTTGACTGACTTTGAATCCAATCGCCATGGAATCTGCATACTTAATTGAAATCCCAGAAAAAGAGATAATATTCATAAAACAATAATCCTAAATACACGTAGAGAGCGACAGATGAAATTTCTCTTCTTCTGTCTGTGAAATTCCATAAAGCAACGGTGTGTGGAAGAATTACAGCGATTCTTTCAGCGTGAGAAACAAAGAAAATATTAGCAAGTAGCAGATATTCAACAATTTAGCTCAGCTGTGCGCGTGTGTGTGTGTGTGTGTTCGTGTGTGTGTGCGCATGTGTGAAGGCATTGGATCTGTATCGCCCAATGAAATCCTCCATCCATTAAAAGTGCTGACATGCCAAGTGTCAGGCTGAGGATGAAAGGAAATTGGAAATGTGCTCCTGAAGAGGAAATACATGCAGATGGAAAATAGTCTAGGACTCGCTGTTGGAAGGCTGTGTTAATGTTGAAATGACAAAGGGAATTCCCAGAGACAGTTTATGTTCAGCGTGACTAATCCCCCTCACATACCATAAGGTACCAGATGGCACCAACAGCCATATTTGTTTTTAACATCAGCGCAGACAAAGAACAGAAATCTCATCATTCTGATCCCCAGAACTGTCTTCGTCATGATCATCTTAATCACCATTACTGTGTCATCATCGCTTATCAACACCATCTAATGATTTTAGGGATTTTCCTCATTATCCTCAAATAAGCCAGATTCCTCATCCCCTCATTCACAGCTCTCTGAATCCTTTCAACATCCTTTCTTCACTTATTACATGATCAGAGCATTTTTGTTTTACCTAAACAAACAATCTTGATTTAGATTCTGTAGATCTGTTGTTCTTTTTACCTCAAATTGTGACAGAGACATAATGAGTGGGACATTTTATAGTGTAAAAAAACAGGGCTGGGCAATTAACCTGAACCAAACCTCTCACTGACTTAGTTTTAAAAATACAACCCCGTGTTTAGTCATGTTCCAACTAACGTTTGTACGTGTTCATTCAAAGTGAAGCTGGCGATATGGAATACTCTGTTTTTTAGCCCCTAAAACCGAGACTCCAGGGTTGCGTTGTAGTGTGGATGGGCAGAAACGGAAATGCAGACACCCGCCTCGCCTCCTGATTGCGTCGTATCAGTCACCACTACCAGACAGTGGTGAATGCAACATGGATAGCTACCAAAGGTAACACCACCAATGTGTTTCATCACTTGGAACACAATCACATTGGCGAATATGAAGAGTGCATGGCTCAAAAGACAGAGAGAAACTGAGAAGCGCAAAAGTAATTGTTCATTAATTAAAATCGAGGTAAAAGTTTGAAAAAATCATGATATTGATTTGAAGTCACATCACGCAGCCCTAGTATAAATCAACCTCTCTAGTGGAAAAAATATACAACTGTGACACCGTTTCTAAATAAGCTCAAACCTCGTTTGGCATTTCTGCTCTGCAGTTTCTTGATACTTTTTGTCCAACAAATACACTGAAACTGATCTACAATAATATAACAATAATTCACTTTTTGAAACAGGTTAAGTGATTTCCTAGTTTTTAGCAAACACTGGTAAATTGTGCATTTGTGGGGGACTATTTTCAGCTTCAGATTAACATGCATTTGGTGCTGTGGTGAGTATTCATTGTAATAAAGGAACGTGTCAGTGCTATTTTAATGTGGCACAGAGGAACAAACTATATCAGGCTGTGGCTGCAGAGAAAAAAACCTGTTAGTAGCATCAATTCATTGTTTTTTTCTTTTCTTGGGGTTTGTTGACAATAGGAAAGCTATAGAATATCACCAAAAACTGACTTTTTTTTAGTGCAACCTAAACAGTTTCATCTGCATCTGAAACCCCTGTTTACATAACCCTGTGACATTTTTTTTTCTTTGAGACTTGTGTGGAGGTCATAGTATTCAGAGAGCTGCATGAAGCTGTCAATTATACACAAAGAAACAAAGGGATTTGTATCATCTGTTGCATAAGGCTTTCACAGGCTTTGCTCCTGTCGCAGTGCATTAGTCCATCAGACTAATGTGCCAGTTATTTGTAATGCTGCCAGTGATTATACTTAATAACTTCCTGAAGTTGATGTTGAAATCTACATTGATGGTTCTACAGAATTTGGCTCCTTCTATTAAATCAGAATCTGAGGAGAAACTATTGAGTATGACGGTGTGATTGACTGTTATTGACTATTAACATGAGTAATAATTTACTGTAATCCTGTGCTACTTATTTATAAATGATTTTACATAAACAGTTCTATATTCTGTCTCATGAGAAACCACTATGTGGTTTGGGACTGCAGCACAGTCATGTTTGTAAGTACATAGGTACTGTTTATACTATTGCTACAGATTTCAAGATTAATGTATGGTGCAGGGTTTATAAATAATGCTGACAATCATTGATGCACAGGGATGGAGTGAAACAGAGTGAAAAAGAGAGAAACTACACTGTAATTCAGTTCATAAAACAGAACTAATGTTGTGTTCTTATGCTGTAAGTTTTGCTTCACAGTGGAGTTAATGACAGGTATGTTGTGTTAACATTTTCTTCTACTAACTCCACTCAACACAATGGCATCAATTAGACTGACAGAGTATTACGGCCGAAGACAGTTTAAATGAAATCAAGCCTCAGCTTTTTTCAGACACATTTCAGTCACTTGAATATATGACTTAGAACAGTGGTTCCCAACCGGTGGGCCGGGGCCCACTGCTAGACTGTGCAGGTATCTTAAATGGGCCGACAAACCATTTGCAAAACAGTACCATTTTGTGAAAAGATTTAATAATAAAAAATGAATAAATAGACATTCAAATTATGTTTTTAAATGTTTTGAAATGAAACGATCTTTTCTCGTATCGAGATCTATCACTGTGATAACTGTGGGACCACACCATCTACTTGTTTGCTATCTCAGTCGGATTGCATGCTAAAAGATTACATATAACCTATGGAAAAAACTGGAGTTTCAAAATGGATAGCTGGTTAGCAACAGGGAGAGTTAAGAGACAGTTGGTGGATCAATGAGTGACCCCTCCTTTAGAAAATACATATATAAATAATAATATATAAGTATACAAAAACCACTGAAGTCATGACCCACAATAGCACACATTAATCTATAGTATGATGTATCTCAGGTCAGTTCTGACAACATTTAAAAACATTGCCTAATAATTTCACTTTCATAGAGAAATCTCATCTAACTGTGTTTTCAATGTATTCACTAGTGATGATTTTACATTTGAATGACTTTTTTTACTATAAACCTTGTACTCTGTAAAATGACTTGCTGTAAAAACATGTGGATTCATAAAACATGTTTACTTCAATGAAATCTTTTCATGGTGATATTAAATGATATTAACCCACCAGATCCATCAACCGGTTAATAAGACTATTACTGCAATGAATGCTACAATGTCCTGATTAAACTACTCAAAAGACCTTGGGGAAAAAAAGGCTGTGACAGCGCAAACACTGCACCGTCATCATGTTACTGATATGTCAGCCGGGCCTGTGAGGGAGCCTGGTGTTTTCTACTGGTTTCCTGAGCTGATGGATGGGATTCACGCCATGATTTGAGCAAAAAAGAAAAAAAAAAAACTCTGGTAAATGCACTGCAATAAATTATGTCTGTCTTGAATTTAAGAACCAACTAGGTTGAAAATTCTCCTTGGAAAAAAAAAAACAAAAAACCTCCCAGTCTGACTGCAAATTGATAATTCTATGTTAAAAATGAGGTAGAGGTTTTCCATTTCATCCATCCTTAATTGTTTTTTTTCTCTCTCCCCTGGCACTCAGTGTATTAGCAGCAGGAGGCAAGAAAATTGCATGAAGTGCCTTCTCAGCCCAATAAATCACGAGAAAACTTCTGAAAAACAAACCAATCTTTCCTAACATACAACAAAGAAAATCAAAGATGATGTGTCAGACTACTGTCAGACTTTATGAAAAGATCTTAGACACTGATAACTCCAGCTTCTAATTTTCATTCAAATCATCTGTGGCCTTTCAGAACGATTTATCACCCACATTATCACAGCTCGGAAAAAGTCAAAGCCAGTCTGACTGTAGAGCCACCTGACACATGACAAAGATCTCTGATTGTCTGGAGATGGAAAGAATACAGATTGAATAGTAGTAAACTCTCATACAATCATTGTTCTGCTGCTATTTTTTCTGAGGCAGATAAAGTTTTAGCCTGTATTATGTTAGCTCAGATGTCCAAGGTCAACAGACAACACTGAAGCTGGCTTTTGCATCTTAGCTAACCTCTCTCACTATAGCGTTGGATTTTGGAGCGTGTGTTGTGACAGAAAAGCCGAGACACCGGCAGTAGCTAACTGGATCACTGCAGCAGGGAGAAACTGGCTGGCCGGCGGTGACATGAAGCGGTGCTCTACAGCAGCAGGTTAACCAGCAAGCAGTTCAGTTCAGATTAGGGTTAACACTCGTGTCTTGCCAGCCATGCCTCCTCCCATGTCTAGCATCCTTGTAAGGCTGGAGAGCCCCTCTGAGGTTTAATTGCGAGTTGACACTGAAGGTCAGAATCTGTGTGTGTGTTTATGTGTGTGTGTGTGTGTGTGTGTGTGTGTGTGTGTATGTGTGTGGCCTGGAGACATGTATTTTCAGAGACACATCATCGTCTTCTTTCATGTTTCAAGAGGGAAAGGTAGC